ATAGTAAACGTGAATTTTAGTTTAACAAATTAAGAAATTAAGTGATTGAAAAGATATAAAACGATAAAAAATTAATTCACAAACAAAGCACGAGCGTAATATAAACGCAGAACAAACCGTTATACCGTTTTAACAAACTCAATAAGCRAAGAGCGAAAAGCAACCGGTTACGATRACAGTTCGACGGTGAATGAATTTATAATATATTATATATGAATTAAAGCTTTATAAAAACAAATAATGATATCAGTTTTATCTTCCCGTACTCTACTATGTGGCAACATTGTTGCTATTTTATCGTAGATATAAAATTTTAAAGCATATGTGCTTGATACGATGCATATGTGTTTTGATTGAGTTGTCAAATTTCATATATTTTCAGTTCAATCTTAGTTTTTTAGTTTAACTTTTATAAAAAAGAAAAAACTGAAAACTAAAAAAAACTTTCAAAATAGCTATTACTAAAATTTCTAAAGTGCCCAAGGAAAAGCATCAAAATTAAAAAACAAAAAAAACATTTGGCAAAGGAAAGCATTGGCGTGGGGTACACAGGTGCGAACAATGTCCCAACAACATCCTAATCCACAACAAAAAAGTAGTGAACCCGTATGTGCAATCAACAATAAGAAAAAAGGAGTTACAAGACAAAAATTAGACCAACAAAATCTTAGAACAAAACTTTTTGAAGTAAAGGGTTCAGGCGATGGAGGATCAGTAAAACAAAAACATGAATTTGATCACTCAAATTGCCAACCATTAAAGTCAAAGAGCCCACTGAAAGCAACAACTGGGGCATATAACCAATTAAAACATAAGGAGTCAATTACATGCATGGATCAACTGCAACAACAAATGAAATCTATTTTATCATGTACTGAGGTTAATGAAAAACAACACAACTGTCAACATCGAAATAATGCGGGTTCACAAAGGTGTTCCCGTCGTAATTCATTGAATCGGGAACAGGGATCTGATCATCACGAAGCACACGACCAACATCCCAATTCTGAAAACAATCGACCGCTAAGCAAATCTGCACGATTACGTCAAAAACGTAAAGCTGCTCAAAGAAATAAATATGTGGCTATTGATTGTGAGATGGTTGGTGTGGGTCACAAAGGTCAACAAGACATGTTGGCACGAGTTTCTATCGTAAATAAGCAGGGTGAAGTTTTGTTAGATAAATTTGTTAAACCGTGGATCAAGGTAACAGATTATAGAACAAGTATATCTGGTATCAGACCAAAGGACATCGAAAATGGCGAAGATTTTCATTTGGTGCAGGATGAAGTTGTTGAATTGCTTAAGGGTAAAATTCTTGTTGGCCATGCTATATGCAACGATTTGGCTGTATTACACATAAAGCATCCATATAAAAATATACGAGATACTTCCCGTTATAAGCCATTATGCCGTCTAGTTTCGAATGGACGAACTCCGAGCCTTAAACTTTTGAGTCAAGCAATTTTAGGTATGGAAATACAAATAGGAGAGCACAATTCCGTGGAGGACGCACGTGCTGCTATGAAAATTTATAACTGTCTAAGCGGAGATTGGGAAAAATATGTTCAAAAACAACAACATAATCACCATAAATAGTAATAAAGTGACTTCAATTATAAAAGCAACACGCCAATTTCATATTTTTCTACTAGTAATCTTCGAGATAGTTAAGTGATTTAGCCTTAAGTTGCTAATAACGCGCCTCACGTCATGACATAAATATAAAAAAATAATTCCAAACATTTTACATGGAACAAAAGAAGATACAAATTTAAAAAGGCATAACAACAATTTAGTACAATTTTATGAATTAACTTCCGAGAATAAAATTCTGATGAATTTCTTCAATTCAAACACGAAACTTCGCTGATCTTACCTAGCAGAATGTGAGCCAGTAGCAGTTGTGTAGTGCATTTTGTGTTACTTATATTAATGTAAATGTAATTGCTAGTAAAAGAAGATAAATAATTATTATTAAATATAACAATACAAAATGTTAAGAACCATTCAAGATAATTTTAATTAAAAATGATTGTCTTACACCTATGATTTGGTTTTAAATAAGTGAATTGAATTTGTGGTATATTAAAGAAAATTAGAAAAGGAATCAAAATGATATATGAACATATTTTCGCCATAATAGTAACGTAACTTGCTTTGGAAATATTTAATTTTTAATGTTTCAATTAAACAAAGGAAGTATGGATTATAACGACAGTAGTCGTTAGCTTTAAGTTTCAAATGTACATAGATTGCATAAATTAATATTTTACAAATATTGTATTTTATAATAATCTCGTTATTTTGTATGTAATATATACATAATATAATATAGAATTCATTAGTGCTACGGACTCCCTGTAACAATATAACCTTCATTACCAGCGTTATACATATTAGCTTCTATATCCTCGCTGTCGCTTTCTCCTGTGTTTGCGAATATTGGAATTTGATCATTTTGCTGGGCAGGAGTTGGCAGGTTTATCTCGCTTCTTTTGATCGCATCTCTTCTTTCCATTAAGTCCTTCCATGGATCTTCCAGCATGGACTTATGCACGTACGCCGATACATCCTTCACTTTGCAATTAAAAGATTGTCTCTAAACATAAAAATATGGATTAGAGTTAAAATAATTATTTTCCTTATTATTATTTGTTACTAACACTGTTCCGTTGTCTGTGTCCACCACCACGCCATTGTCGCTCCGTAGGGTCGCAGTTTCGTGGTGTCTGTTGCCATTGCATTCCATACCCGCTAGTGCTGTGCCGATTACTTTGCCATCCCCCCGAAAACCGATTTTGTTGACCTCCACGACCTCTTTGTTTATTCTGGTAGAAGTTTCCACCGCTGCCTTTAATATTCAGGTTGTTGTAATGCGGTCGTGCGGGTGTGGAACATGTACCTGGGCCGCCAATCTCTAGTGATATGTAATCCTCTGATTGAGAAGGATATTGATGAAGTGGCTTAGCATAGGGAGATGTATAATTTCGAGACATTGTATATTTTAGACGGTATAGTATTAAATATTTTAATTGACAAATTTCAACGATAAAAATTACACGAATATGTGTGTAATGAAAGAGCTTAAAAAAATAATGGCAACAAAAGTGAAGAAGTCAAATACAAACTTTGTGAATGAAGAACATAGAAGAAAATTTTCCCAGAGTTGCAGTATTCAAAATAGAACGTAAACAAGAAAAGAGGTACCGTATCGCTGGAAAAATTTTGTTTGTTAAAACAAACCAGAATTTTAACTAATAATTATAAATTTTTCTTCTTTACCTTTGTCTATAGCTTTAATACAGGCAGAAATCTCTACTCAAGAACACACTCAATAAAGCTCAAGCTGGTATTAATTTTATTCAAGTTATACCAAGCTACCAAAAAATTTAAAAAAATTTATTACAAATTGAGAAATTGTATTCATATCTTTTGACTGTAAATGCAAATATCGGAAACCTATGTATACTGCGCCTCTTTCAACATATATTCTTATTGTTTATTTTATTTCAAAAGTTCAACACGAAATATTTATTCACAATAACATGTGGTCAAACAGCTCAAAGACGACAAAATTACAACTAATTCACCACAAACTAACAAAGGTTTGACAGTTGTGAAACGAAAGAAATTTCAATTGAATTTTTCTTATCCAATTGTCAGTGCATGTTTTGTGTTGGAGTGTTGAAGTAACTTATTTTCGTGGAATAGCGGTGAATAGTGGTTATGTTTGTTGTTGGTGTCCATAAGAAAACAAAAGATAATAAAAAAAGGAATAAAGTGGGAATAAGTGCCTAGACGCGTTCTATTTTATGCAAAGATATGCTGAAATAAGCATTCGATAAATATATATATTAATATATGAGTATTGCAAATTGCAAAATACGCTCAACGACAATAACGAATTGCATTCAAAGTATATTTAGTTGGAAGTAATCTTGAAATAAATGTGTTTAATTTAGTGGTACATATTTTTGAGTGGTTGTGAAAATTTTATGTGCGTGAGTAAACCGAGTTCATCGGTCTAACGAATTCGGTAATTCCTTATTTAACATATACATATGTGCATGTATTTTACTGCGTTTAGCTGATGCTCTTCAGCACAAAAAGCCAGACTGCGGTTTCGCAAGATACATAAAGGCGATGTATTCAATATACTTATAACTCATAGTCTGCTGTCTGGTAATGGTGTGTGGAACGACCGGCGTTTTAACATTAAAGGGGAATGTACATAACACTCGCCTCACTCGCTGCACATCAGTTGGGTATTCTTCGCATCAACATTTTGGATGAAAAATTTTTCGTTATATTACGCTGAAATTTAATAGATTTTGAAAACAAAAATATAAAAAGTTTTTAAATTTATTTTATGTATGTATATCCAATTTCCAACTCTTGCTATAAAAAAATTTAACAAATCAAATTGAAATTATTATTGCATGTCAATCCTATATAATTGGTTTGTTTTTCAAAATCATCTGTGAATTAAAATCTATAAAAAGCATAACTCGTGAAATAATTGCGAATGTGTAATCATATTTTTAAAGTAATTAATAAAGGCGTACCAATTTCTAGAGACGATACCACAAAGCAAATAGGATTGTGTTTCTTCTCTAAATAAGTGTCAAGAAACAATAAAATTTCACTATTTATAATTCTTTATCCTGATATACATTGTATATTGCAACAAATACAATCGGTATTCTGACGTATTAAAATAACACATGTTTGCAGCTTGCAGTTTTGACGATTCAATCCACATTAATAACGAAGGATTATTTAAATTATATTTAACTGACATTGTTCAAAATCGCAGGAACAATAAACAAAATAATATTTCAAAATCTGCTCTTTTAAACGATAAATTTTGGATCTGTTCAACGAACTAAAAGAGCAACTATCAAGTTGCCCCGAGAAAACTCGTGTGCTGTGCCGCACTGTCCAGTCGACAGTGTGGGGAGCCGTTGTATCCTCATTAAACGTAGCGCTTGGCGGTGGTGGGGGTGGTGCAGTAACATCATCGGCGGATAGCAGTGGTGGCTCCGGCGTATCCGGACCAGGACCAGGTGGCGGTGTGGGCGTTGGCCGCTTAGCATCCATAATGGGCGCAGTTAGTTCACGCCATATCTCTACCAGTGATGCGCTGGTAGAGGAAGGCGGTGGAGGTAATAATCATGATCATGGCAACGGAAATTGTTCAATTTCAAACAAAAATGGCATAACCACAGCTACTGGTGGTTTTCTACAAAAACAAGATTTGCATTATGATATCGGTTCGAGTTCTCAGTATCATCATGTACGTCAACCAAGCGTTCGCAGTCGAAGTCAGCAACCCATGCCAACCACAGATGAATTGGATAGGCGTTTCGCAAAAGTTTTGGTAAGTCATAGTTATATAAAATTTTTGTTAACATATAAAGGTTGATACAAGCAATACGGTAAATTTAGACCAATAATAACAAGGAGTTAGAAATATAAGGATTTCCGATACGAAATTTAGAAGGAAAATATTTCTTTCTGATCGCTTGCCAAAAGCCGCTTTCCTATCCTCGAGTCTTTGTTATCTACATCAGAATAATTTCTAGTTGTTATAATGTTCTTATAAGTGTCAGGCTAATCTAATAATATGTATACATATATAAAACTACATGACAGTAGTCTATCTATTTACACAAATCGTTTATAGTGTACATTTAAGCACGTACATATGTACTGCAGTCACTAATTGCCCAAAGTGTTCTGTGAATTTTCAAACGCGCTGATGAACTCGATTTTTGACGCTAATATATTAGAACTCCTCTTTCCTCATCGTATTTTTTAAATTAGATTTACCTATAGTAATGTGTACTCACAAACGACATGAACGCTCTACAATTGTGTGTATTGAAACTTTTTTTTTACATGGTTTTGTCCCGCATGACAATATTTACGTTTGACAGATTAGGTCGTTGCCCGTGTTTGCCTGGGATCGAAAGAAGTATTTGCGCTTAGAATTTTTCTATTATATTAAAATATTGTAAACGAATAAATCAAATATTGTAACAGAAATACTTGCACGCGACTAGTTAATTTTTTTAGCGTTGTTTATTGGGAAAAACTTAATTGTGGGCATAATTTTTATAATCGTTTGCATTTCAAATAAGTAACATTTATAGTAAAATATAATATATAAAAATGTAAAACAATTTGTAATTTGCTTAACTGTTATTCATTTATATTCTATCTTGCCTCAGTTTTGAAAACTGCCTTAAAGTACTTGTTAAGATTATTTCAAAATACGTTTGCATACTAGATATTTAGTAGACAAAGACATATAAGCATTTATATTAAAATGATTGTATTTGAGCGTTTGTGTTTTTTTAAGTGCTAAGTACTCAGTCAGCATATAAAAATAAACGCTGACATCATCGTCTTCCAGACTTACACGCTTATTCAGTAGATTAATGAAAGCCGGCCGAGCAATTTGTAGATTTCGTAAATTTGAAAAACTAATATATATTTGTAAACTTGTGTATTTGCGATGTGATAAGAAACACTAGGAGGTGGCTTCGGCATCAATAATGAAAAAAAAAAACATATGTATATGTATGTTTACAAAGAAAATTTGTGTTAGGTTTTCGGCAGAGAATATGAATGAAATAAATGATTAGTCGCTATTCCCCGTCAAAAGTTGATAACGTCCAGCTGAACAGAATAAAACGGTTAGCTAAAGAAGATTAAATATGCACTGTGCCTTACTTAGTCTTGCCATAAATTCTGGTATAAAGATTACAATGAATACAGCTAGCTTACGATACATATTTTTCTGGAGTTAAAGAAATTCGAATTATAATGATATGGTATCGTATCGTGTATAATAAAAAAAATCTTAATATTTCGAGAATGTTTCTTTACTGTTATTGATAATTTTTTCCCAAAAGTCTATCTTTGATAAAGTTAAGAAAAGTGCGGTGTCCACAAAAGGGAGGTTTCTCGACCAAGTTGATTATGAGGAGAGGGTATGATGCGATCTATGCTAATGGACGACAGGTTATTCTATTTATCAGATCACTTCTATGTATGATGGTAATATGATTGATCAGACTAAGAGTCATGCTGCTTATTTTAGCTTCTTGGAAACGTGTCCTATTGCGTTTACTAAACCTAGCCGAAGTGAGGTTTGAATGAAACCTTTTCGCGTAAACGCAGCAAACGCTCCGGATTCGGCTTTGACTGAAGCGCAAATACTTAAAGTCATCTTACTACTTCCAATCCAAACATGGTTAGCCAACTTAACTAACAGATTCTAAGGTATTGTTTAACATAAAACAGAAGATTATCTAATCTCAAAGAAGTAGAATCAAAGAAGCTGAATTTATATACATTAAGATAACTCAACCTAAGCTAGTTTTGTATATTGGTAAAGAAATGTTGTGAAAGACAATTTCATTTCATTTCGCTCTTTATGTGTATGACTAATTGTCAATTGAATATTTTGATTGCAAATTTCAAAGCACTGGGAAGCTGAGCCACTTTCGCAGAAGTCAAAATAATCACTCCTAAATTTTACACTCTCATTCCTGCAATATTATATAACTTACTGTGTGTAGTTTATCGTCGGATGGTTTGTTAATTTTTTTTTAAATATATTTAATGGTTTTACATCCTACATCGTTCGTTGTGTGGTATATATGGAGACTTATTTTGAAACGTGACCGGGCGTTTAAAGGTATTAAAAATGATAGTATTTTATTTTATTATAGACTTTAATGTTTTACATCAGGTTTTTTATTGCTCAAAACTTTAAAGAATTTTTCAAATATACACATTATCACAGCTTGTGCCCTTCATAACTTCAAAACACACTGATCGTTTTGAATTATTGATCGCTCTTTCTGTACGTAATTTACGAGGATACTCCGAAAACTCATCTTCATAATTGCTAATAATTTTTTTCGTACATTAACAATTTAATAGATTTTTTCACAAGAAACAGTGTTTCTCTTTTCAAAGTCTTTCAAAAAAAATTTAAAATTAAAAAAAATTTTTTTTTTTGATCTTGATTAGTTGAAGTATTATTTTGTTTAACACCTGTCGTTGAATTTATTAATTCAGTAGAAATATAGGCCTGAGTTACAACTATCACACACCGGATACCGAATGTGTGAGCTCCAGTTCCTACAACGAACATTTTATCGAAAATATCAGTCAATCTGTCGGAGAAAATGCTTTACTGATCACAGTATGCTTGAATCAGATGAAGGACTCTCTCAGTCGTCATATACCTAATATAAAGATTTTTGAACTTCCGGTTGACTATACCGCATATATGGGCGAATATGTGGGCTATCTTAGTGAAAAGGCGAGAATGTGGTATATTAATAACAAAGTATTTTTGCGATCAAAATGGATAAAATCGGTTGAAAATCTGTCATCGTATTGTTAAATAAAATACATAAATATCAGAGATCGTTACATTTTAATAAATAATTTTCACAAAAGAAAATGATTTGTTGCATATTTTTGTATACTATAATTTAAGTTTTTCCATCTGGTTGAAAAATTCGTAAATGGCGGGTATTTGACACCAGCAAACAGGCCGTAAGTGGCATTGCTTTGCATAATGCACTCCGCGATTATGAAACTACTGGAAAGAACAAAAAAAGAAAGACAATAGTAGCGGTGGTAAGAGACGCGCTTTCAAAACTCAAAAAAATGTGTTATGATTGGCGTTCAACTAACGCTTGAATGCATTCAATTATCAGGAAATTAGTCGCTATTTAATTTGTAAATTAGACGCAAATGTCGGACAAATATGTGGCAGAAAAGGCAACACATAAGAAGCATTAGTAGCCACCGTGATCAACCCGCATTAGATTACGTTGGCTCACCATGAGCTAAGCATAAACGGGACCAGTTTTTCAAATGCAACTCGAAATCTATGAAACCTAACCAACCAGTCAGCTCAAGTCAATACTCCAATCAACCAACTGCACGACAACAAAAACCTCACGTTGATTTGTAAAAAATGCTTACTGTGATATGTTGTTGCTAGGAAGTGTATTTGTGTGGTTGTGGTAAGATGAAATCCGAAAACCACGTCTCTCAGATTTTTCTACTACGAAATCCAACTTACACACGCAGTCTTTTGTCAGCTCGAAGCTGTTTGTTGATATTGTTGCTTTAGCGCTTTACATTACAAATTTCAACAAAATTCAAACTTTGCTCTCTACTCAATCGTCGTGTTTCAGACAAACGCTATTGCTTTGGGGGGGAAAACGAAGGTGGCCACTAAGTATTTGCTTATCGTTTTTGTTGTTGTTTGTTATGTGGATTCCTGTTGCTTCTGTCAGGTCTATAACTGGTGTTGGCGTTGACACTGATACCGACGTTGCTGATGCTTCGGTGCATTAAACCAAGCTTTAGAATTGAATCTATTAATTGAATGTATAAGCGTGTGGCGACAATAGGCGTTAGAGTAAACAGAGGTGGACCAGTTTGTGTCCAAAAAAGGCATGTCGTCGCTTGCAGCGCATAAAATATATATAAAATGTGTATTTGTAATAGATTTTGTAGATGTAAGTTTACATGCGCTTAAAAGCATATGGAGCACAGAATGCACTAGTCTGAAGCACAATTTATCAACGTCATAATGTCAGTGTGAAAGAGCAAGAAGTGACTATCCACCTTATTAACTTCATTTTTTTTTCAGTCAAGCTAATTAAAGCAATACTTGTATTTTGGTCTCTATGACATATTTTTAACCCCTCAGTTATCCGCTTTATTTTGTGTTTTGATATTTATTCTCGTGTGCATTTGGTAGTCTTCGTTTGTAATGTAAATTTCTCTTTGTATTTTTCATTAAAAAAAAAAAAAAACCAAACATACTGTTGGGTGGGTGTTGAACCACCAATTAAGTGGGTCACATACCAGTTTCACAAACATATGTATGTATGTATGTATGTATGTATGTGCATTATAAAGAGTTTTGGGATGCAGCTTAAGCATAACAAGTTCGAGTAGTCACTGTTTTCTATTTATTAGCATAAACATGATCCCATGATCGGAAATTAAAAAATTTTCAATTTTTGTTTATTTAAATTTAAATGAAAATTTGTATAAGTACTAAAGGAAACAACGAAACGAATTGAACTTCTGAGCTTTTTTAGAAACACAGTGCAACATTTTTAAAGTGAAGCATATGAGAAACATTTCATTAAATTATTTGCACACTTTCTTCCACTCAATATATTTTTCTTACAATCAATGATATCCACCTTTTTGTGGCATTAGGGACAAAATATTTCTGCATCAGTATTTACCTATTTATTACACATTTGCATATGTTATTAATGACAAATCAGAGAAATTCTTCACAGCAAAAACGTGAATGATGAATGG